ACGTCACGCTGCTCTTTCTCTCTCTCTCTCTCTCTTCTCGATTCTTCTATCTCTGCTCTCTCTCTCTTCTCTCCATTCTCTCAGCCGTTCGCTATTGGCTCTCTCTCTCTCCTCTCCTCTCGTCTCTCTTCTCCTCTCTACTATTCTCTCTCTCTCCTAGCCCTCTTTCTCTTTCTCGTCTCTCTGCCTCTCTCTCCCCCTCCCTCTCATCTCGGGATCGTTTCCTCGTTCGTTCTTCTCCTTTCCTCAACTCTCGGTCTGACTGCTCCATACTCTCTCTCATCTCTCTCTCTTCTCTGTCTGTCTCTTCAAGCGGCAGCTTTCATACTCCTCGTCTCTTATTCTTTTCTCTCAATCCAACTCTTGGGTGTCGTCTGCACTCTCGTCTCTCACACCTCTCTCTCTCTTCTTCCGTGAACCCGTTTTCTCTCATACTGCATCTCGCCCTCTCTCAATTCTCTCTCCTCTCTCTCCCTCTCTCTCTCTCGCACTGCTAGCATACACACTACGCCACGCTACGTGAACACGGCCACGCTGCATCGGTGGCGGCGGCGGTGATGCAGTGCCCGGATGAACACCGTCGCCAAACGTGCGCCCGAGGCTCTATAAACCAAAAGGAGCCCGCACAACAGACAAATCCACTGAAAAATCACTCTCTCTCTCGTGTTCGCGGGTTCGGTGCGCGCGTGTTGGAGAGTCCTAGCAGGTGATTGATTGATCGCGTACGCGCCCTGCGTGCATATAATGAAGCATGCACTCGCGCGCGTGCACTAATATGAAAGGCGTGGCGTGCGCGCGCGTTGCACATATGGTAAGGCGTGCCTGCGCTGATGTTGCAGCCTATGAAGGCGTGCGTGCGCGCGTGCACATATGAAGGCGTGCGTGCGTGCGTGCACACGCATAAGAAGGCGTGCGTGCGTGCGTGCACATATGAAGGCGTGCGTGCGCGCGTTTGTGCACGCGCGCACGCACGCCTTCATATGTGTATATGAAGGCGTGCGTGCCCGATTGTGAAAAAGCGCGTACATGTGTGCGTGCGTGCGTGCACATATGAAGGCGTGCGTGCCCGCGTGTGAAGAAGCGCGTACATGTGTGCGTGCGTGCGTGCACATATGAAGGCGTGCGTGCGTGTTTGCACATAAGAAGGCGTGCGTGCGTGTCTGCACATAAGAAGGCGTGCGGGCGTGTGTGCACATAAGAAGGCGTGCGTGCGTGTGTGCGCGCGTGTAGGAGTACGTGCATGTGTGCTTGAATGCACGTATGAAGGCGTGCGTGCGTACGCGTGTGAAGAAGCGCGTACACGTGCATGTGTGTGCGTGCGTGCACATATGAAGGCGTTCGTGCGTGAGTGCGCGCGTGTGCGTGAATGGGGAGAGGGGCGCCTGCATGTGTGAGAGTGAGGGTGTGGAGCCAGTAATAGTGTAGTGTACTACGGGGTCGTACTGATGAATAGTGAGAGAGTGTTGGGCGGTGATGTGCATATTATATCTAGATATCTAGATTGATAGATAGATAGATAGATAGCTTGATAGATAGATAGATAGATAGATAGATAGATAGATAGATAGATAGATAGATCGATAGATAGATAGATAGATNAGGCGTGGCGGCAGACATGGGGAAGCGAGGCACAGGGCCACGGATTGACCGAGAATACCTGATGCGTGGGCCGGTTATGTTTATCAGCCCACTAGTCCACATGCAGGACATGCAGGTGTGTTTATATTGCGTGGCGTGCGTGCGTGGCGTGCGTGTGCGTGCGTGTGTGCGTCGTTGCGTGCGTGCGTGCCGTGTTGGCGTGGCGTGTCGTGCGTGCGTGCTGTGCGTACGTTCGTTCTCGTGCGTGTCGTGCGTGCGGTGCAGTGCGCGTGCGCGCATCCCGTGCGTAGCGTCGTGCGTTCGTCGCGTCGTGGGCGTGGTGTGTGTGCGTGCGCGTGTTTGTGGTTGTCTCTTCCCTCGCTCATCCTGCTTTCCCTTCCTTTCTGCTTTTTCACTATTTCTCCGCTCCCTCCCTCTCACTCTCCGTTTGTGTCTGTCCTGTCTGTCTGGTCCTGTCTCTCTCCCTCGTCTCTCTCTCTCTCTCCTCTCTCTCTCCTCACTCTCGTCTCCAATCTCTGTCCAGACTCTCTCTCGTCCCTCTCTTCTCTTTCCCCTTTCTCTGATTCATCTCTCTCTTGCTCTCCTCTGATGTCCTCTCTCACTCTTGCCTCTCTCGTCTCTCTCGTCTCTTCTCTCTCGCTTCGCTCTCTCCATCTCCTCTCTTTCATCGGGCAATCCTTGTCACGGTGCAACGACATCTTACCGAACGTATAACAATTCGGGTTCATCTCTGCCTATCTCCTGTCTCGTACGTGGCTAGTGGCGTACTCACGTGTCCCACTCTCTCTCTCTCTCTCTCACTCTCTCTCTCATTCTCTCTCTCTCTCTTCATCATCTATCTCACCTTCCGTCCTCAATACGTCACTTAGAACTACTTCGCGCCTATAAAGCCAATAATGCGATTCCGCTGCAACTGTTATCTCTATATTTTCTTTTCTAATTTGTTTCCAATTTGCAAATACGACCAGTAAATGCTTACCTACAATAAACGCACCGCTACTCGGTCTGCATCACACACAGCCGAGCGTCACCGCGTTAGCGTGCGATAGACCTAGCCTCGTAAATATTCTCGCAAGCATCATCGCCATCATCATCATCATCATCATCGTCGTCATCGTCATCATCATCGTTACGCACCAGATCATGCTCGCGCGTCCACTCATACGTTTGGACGCCCATTGAACAGTAAATTAAGACGAGGTTGGCGAATGTGTATTGTCATGCACGCTCGCGTTACAAACGTGTGGCATGTCTATGCAAGAGCGTAGTGTTTGTAAGTTTGCAAGTATGCATGTGAGTGCACGTGTGTGTGTTGAGGGGGTGACCGGATTGGGGTCATCTGTGAGAGGGTGCGTGTTCCACATATATAAGGTGACCATTGTTTGTATCTTTGCAGCAGCGGCAGCAGCAGCCGCACCATGCACCAGCAGCAGTAGTAGTAATAGTAGTAGTAGTAGTAGTAGTAGTAGTAGTAGTAGTAGTAGTAGTAGTAGTAGTAGTAGTAGTAGTAATAGTTGTTGTAGTAGTAGTAGCAGTAGCGGTAGCAGCAGCAGCGGCAGCAGCAGTAGCAGCAGCGGCGGCGGCGGCAGCAGCAGCATCAGCAGCAGTAGTAGCAGCAGCAGCAGCAGCGGCGGCGGCGGCAGCAGCAGCATCAGCAGCAGTAGTAGCAGCAGCAGCGGCTATCCGCTTTATACGTCGTGGTGTGTCATGGCAATGGTATATAATAGACCCACTTATAAAATCAAACTAAACTGCTCCGTCAACACGGATTTTAATATTAAACGTAATTACGCAAGTTTTTCATTTTTATTTTTCATCTGTGTGTACTCGTATCTCCTCGCGATCCCCCTCACACACTTCACTCAGCCAGCTTCCGATCTTGAGCGGAGAGCTACGAACGAATAACTTCACTCAATTAAACGTCAACACGATTTGATTAATGTTACACACTATGTGTTACATTAACTGTATTGTATTAAATATATTGTATTATGTTAATAATTGGTGTGGGCACTTACTTTACGAAGCTCAATGATCATACCTCCACCCCCCCATCCACCCATCGCGCCTTCCTTGGTTATGCATCGCTTCGCTTCGCTCATCTTTATCGCGGCAATTTCACGTGCAAATACGACATGTTTGCTTTGCGAGACAGCGCGACTTCGTACAACGGTGTGCGTATAATTATGTAAATTTCGTGCAGCGACAAGGTCGCACTCTATCACTGTAGTAGTACGCGTGGAGCGTTGACAGGACGGGGCTTGCTGCTGCTGCTGCACCGACAGTCCTCTCTCTCTTCACTACACGTGCGATGGTTAGACGGGTGGGGGGAGGCGGTTCTGACAGACTAATAGACTATTGCTCCACTGGTTGCGTTAAGAGGAGAGAGAGCGAGAGAGAGAAGAGAGCGAGAGAGAGAGAGCGAGGGAG